AATAAATAAATAAATAAACATAAGCAACAACACCGATGAGGAACTGAAAAATTCTCGCACAATTAATGTACATTTGCATTACGCGCGCCTCTCTTTGCGCTTCACAAGACGCCGACGACACGCGTGTATACAAATAACACGCATATCACCTCGACATAACACAGGGAACACAATGAAGAATTGAATACCTGGGCTCGAGGTCTCGTGTAGAAATGTAAATGTAACTCACTCGCTCACTTACTTAGGCGGCCCTCTGCCGTATAAAATTACGTGCCGCTGCTTGTAGGCATCCGCCCACACCTTTTCCATCCGTCAGTATTGATTTTATGGTATTTTGTGCGTGGGCCAGAGTAACATATGACATTTGGAGTATGCATACATATATGATTCTGGATGCAGAAAATAGGAATCGGATTACAGAAGAGTATAATAGGATTAGTACCTTTTGAAAATGAAAACCCATGCCTAAGAGTTTTTAAAGCAATGCAGTTGAAATTTATTAAGGAATAAGATTGAATATGAACTTTTATTTAAGGAATATAAAGGATCCAACAGGTGCGAATCTAGCTATTTTTTCCACAAAAAGCTCTGTTATGTATTATGTTAGAAAATATAACACGAGCCTCTAAAGGTCTATTGAATGTATTTATTTCATGGACATATTATAATGCAATTTAATTTAAAAATTTAAATATTATAAATACTTCGCCTTTGCATTTCGATTTCAAGTGAAACTCAAATTGTTGTAATATTTTTAAAATCTAGCCTAGAGCTATTTTACAATTACTTTGAAGGTCTATAGCTATGCCGTATACTTCATAGCGTTATTATTATTAATAATAAAAGGAAAAGCCAAGCAAATTTATGGTAACTAAGAATCACATTTGACTCTCTATACATGGAAAACTTAATTGTGATGATTTGGCAAGACGAAAACTTTCTGAAAACCGTATTATGTTTCTTAGGTTAGTTGGGTTACTTTTCTATGTTAAAGGTCGGTAATAATATACTATAATATCAATGCACAGCAAAAATTATATTTTTGCGAAATCTTAAAACTTGACCCTTTTTATTTTCTTCAGAACCACTTTTATTTTATTCGTAAAAATAGCTAAAAAGTATTCTCTCAGTGTTTTCCTAAATTATGTCAAGTGAAAGTATGCTATATAAGCATATTTTCTGTTTATTTTGCTAGCTCTTAAAATTATTGAACACAAAGTCTGATTCAACTTTGTTAATGAAGATCAATATATACACTGAAAGTATTTGTAAAGTATTTAGGAAAAGAACATAATTTAGAAATAGATGCGAATCATAGATCTACAATATAAATAATTTGATAAATGAGAGCACAGATTTTAAGCGTAAATATATTTGAAGAAGTTTTTTTATATATTGTTCCTTTTTCAAGATATACACTTATAAAGCCATATGAATACAAAATTCGAATCAAAAAGGATATACAAACTTCTGTTTTCTAGTATATCCGATAAGATAGCGGTTAAGTCGCTTCTTTTCCCTTCTAGCCTATTCCAATTATGTCTTTTGTTACCTTACCACGATATTTGTCAAGTTTTGCTTTTGTACATATTGCTAACATGATTCTCTTGCAGCTGACGTTAAGTCTTTGCTAACTAACACTGAAAAATAGTTGCGTAGCGCTTGTCTCCCCTTCATAAGAATCTGCGCATTTCACTCCAATGAACCAACAAATGAGCCTATTCGAAGTATTGTGAGTATTTAAATAGAATTTCGATTAGCCAATTATTTGATTTGCATGCGTTCAAACGTAGCTAGATTGCATGAGTGGAACTTCTGAAGAACGTATCGAATATTATAACTCTATACATATATAAAGTATTCGAATGATAGATCACATATTCCTATGCCAATCAGCAACCTGGAGAACTCTCATATCGCTGTTTTTGGTGGTGCTTGTTTGGGGCCCCCCTACAAAATGTTTTGCTATTTTCATGGACACAAAAATATTATTGCTCGAATGTTCATTTTTTTTATCTTTCAAGTGTGGAATC